TTGTATTAAAGTTTTTTCTTCATTACCCATTCAAGCCGTCTCCAACTACTATCAACCAATATTACTTTACATGTAACTTCATAACAACCCCTTTGGCAGGTCTACTTTCTTTTAACTCCTTAGCTTAATGATCAAAGATCGTTCACCTTCTTCAACGATATTATTGTGATTAACCTTCTATTCTTTACGTCTTCACCTCACTTGTAATCAGTGATGTAAGCTTGTGGGGTACGAGGGAGCGTCAGCTCCTCAATTCGTATGAAGAGGGATCTCCACTTCTATATTTCAAATGCAGTTATTTCCCTTGTTGCTTTCCTATATGTCCAAATGTGGATTTATGAAATTGTAATCCCGTCTCTAGTATAAACGCTTTATATACGAAATACATTTATTATCATTAACTGAAAACCCTCTGGCCTTTCATATACTTCTGTTGTATAATAATAGACCTTAATCAATGATTATATGAATTATCAATTATTAGCAAACAGGGTAGCCATAAATAACTAGTTTGGTAATTAGCTGTTCTATCGGGATGGAAGAGTTTATGGTGACCCCTCACTACTAAACCGAGCACTACATCACTGCTTATAATTGATAAAATAATTTGTCTTCTCCACCTCCACAAATGTCACTAACCTTCTTTCCTTAGGGTCTGGCATGGCCTGGTTGTTACGGCACTTGACCCGCAAGCTGAGAGTCGCGGGTTTTAATTTCGTCCCCAAACATGCTCACCCGTTCAAGTGTGAGGGCGTTATCATGTGTTGGTCAATTCAACTATCAGTTGGTATGTAGTAGCCCAAGAAGTGGCTCTGGGTAGTGTTGATTAGTTGTCTTTCTTCTAGTCTGTCATTTCAAAATCATGGACAGCTAGCGCAGAGTAGTTTGGCGTGAAATTCAAAACAAACCAAACAAATCTTGTTTTATTTACTTTCACAACTCACTAAGAATTAATATTTTATCTTTTTCAGCTCCAGTTTTGTGACCTTTGTATACTTCTCTCCCTTAGCAGTAGCTAATCTTCCAACTTGCCCAGATTTCCTAGCAAGATATTTATTTCCTTTTCACCATCTCAGAAGAAACTGATCTCATATTTTCAACCATGTGAATTTTTATATTATCTGACTAATCATTGGTTTTGTCCAAATCGTTCTTTACAACTAACTTTCCGTTTTTTATACTCATCTTTTACGACTGTATCCTTAATCTTCCACTTGTCTTCCAGTAATGATATCTTTATTCTTCCACTTATTCGTCGTAACTAAGCTTCCATTTTCTTCATTATGTTCTCTTCAATTAAACTTCAATTTTCCTTCAACTTGATCTTGAGACTAATCATCCGTTTTTTTTTTCATTTGATTTTTGTGATTCATTCTCCATATTCTTTAACCCGATGACTGTGACTATTTTTTTCTTTTCTCCACTCCATCTCTGATAATGGTTACATTCGTTTTAAGTTTTATCCTTAGTTTAGCGTACTATAAGCTGTTCATAACAGTTCTTATGGCATTGGCTACTATAGTGCCTTGACCGTTGAAGTTGAGATAGATAAATGAAAACTACCACTTGAAGCGATGAATCCAACTTTATATGTTTTTTACTTTATATGGTTGGGTCTTGGTTGGACGGAAGCCCAGATAATACTTTAGATATGATTGTTTGATCCCAACTGTGTGGAGTTGTGCGGTACTATCATGGCGCTGCCTGATTTAAGTGGTTTTTAAGTTAGTCTACTGGTAACGGATTAGGACGCCATGAATACTTTAATGTATTTAGATAGTTGAAAAATGTTTGATGCTTCCTTTAATACAATACTTTGGGGAAAGAAACCTTAATTCTCTTAGAACTTTAACACATCATAACACTTCGCACATAGTGACCAGTAGAGGTTTTGGACAAATAATGTTAAAATTCTACATTTTACAGCCAAGATTCTTAACTTGAATCCTGAACTGTTTTGGAATGTTGTCTGAAGAAGAAGCATGTGGTGTTTTCTATTCCTTCATACGTATAACAACGCATGATGGCTGTAATTAAAACCAAGATATACCTTATCAAATTAAGGCTTTAACAGCGAAACACCCTTTTCTAATTTGTGCTATTTCTGTTTTCCTTTCTGGTCTGCCCCCCCCCCCCGGTGGGACAGTGGCAAGTTTACGGGCTTACAACGCTAAAATCCGGGGTTCGATTACAATCTTTGTACCCCGAAGATAGCCCAATGTGTCTTTGCTCTAAAACAAACAAGGAAGTTTTCCTAATGTGTCGTTACGTTTCTAGAAATGGAGCGCTAATTTTGAATCGCGAATGAAGACGGAAGCTAAAGAAACTAAAACAAGAAAAAATAGTATAGCAAACAAAGAATAGACAAAATCTACGTTATTGAGCTAGGTTTTGGACAGTATTGTGGAACTCTGACACATTCCCAACTGAAGAAATACGGTTATCATTTTATTGATCAAAGTAATTTCAGTTTTATGAGATTAATTAGTTAAAAAAGTGACAACTTTTTAAGATTTCTAAACTGACTCATCTTCAATAGTTGAATAACATAGTAAAAATCTAAGAGTAGTAGGGCAGAGCACAGACAGCCCATTATGTAGCTTTGTGCTTAACTACGAACAAACTTTTTTTCTAAAATGGAAATTCGATCTATTATTACGCAGATCAAACACGTGAATATAATGTCTAATAATAGTCTACCATGTATATTCCTCCGCAAACACGCTTTCTAAAAGAATCAACAACAATATAATACGGAGAATACGCCAAACACACAGGTTTACATGCTATAAATAATATTCTGGAATATGTATCCTTTTTTAAACAGATATGTTGGCCATTGACACACACAAACAAGTATGGATGTGTTTGCATGATTTATTTAAATAGTCTTCTATGATAAAATATATAAATATCTGTACATTACTTCCAGAATATGCACAACATACAAAAATATTTTTGTTACTCTGGGTTAAAACACGTAAAGTAATGGTAATTCTTATCTCTCAGGACAAGTACTACCAAAAAACTGAAGAACCTGGCTATTCTTAAGAAAATATTTTAAATATATATCATATGTTTCATTAAGAAAATAAAATAGTCGTATATTTATATATTTATTTTCAGCAACAACATTGAATACTACTCACCAGGAAATTAACTACAACGAAAGATTTAGTTGGGTAAAAGGTAAGTGTCATTGTTTCGTTATATGCCCCAGTTCTTGGATGATCCTGTACCAGTTGTTCTTTTTCTACAAGTAACAATATCGTGGTTTTACTTCTAACTAGTCAAATATAGTTCTTTGGGGATATAAAAGTAAATACCATTTTTAAATAAATAATATTGTTCAGTATAGTGTAAACCATCATTTTATGAATACAGATTGAATGCTCAAAGAGGTTTAGGATTTTATTGTCCATATCCATAAGCTTAGCAGGGCAATATTTAGTTTCTTATCGCCTTTGTATCTTAGCTTGTAACACCGAAATATTCATAGTGTATTGATTTTTTTATTGCATTACTGACGTGTATAAAAATAACATTTTTTTTCAGTTCTAACATACGTATAAACCAATAAGGGCAAACAAATCTATACCAATTCTGTCTTTTGGTATTACTTGGTTAGTCCGACGCAAGATAATGTGACTTAATTAAACAAATAACTTAATAAACAATTCTCATACCAACACTTTGACATTCCAGAAACTTGATATTAGTGTTGAAACAAATACAGTTATACCAACGCTCTGACACCCCACAAACCTGGTATTATAAATTTACACACCTCAAAACGTTTAGCTGATTTCGACATTCCATAAACTTGATAGTAGGTATTATACACCTCAAAAACATAGTGCTGACAAAGTAATGACAAAATTCTGAAATTCCACAAACTTGATATTAGCTATCTGAAACAAATATTTTCATATCAACGTTTTGACATTCCACAGAGTTGGTATTAGCATATACACCTCAAGAGCATACTGCTGAAATAAGTATAGTCTTACCAAGTTTGACACTCTACAAACTAGATATAGATATATATGATAATGACTTCCGGTCAGAGAAAGCTACATACTTAAAGCGAAAGAAAAAATCAACTTGGTCATCAGAATAGCAAATTAGATTCAGTTTCAACTTGTTTCTTTTTAAAGATTAAAATGCATTGTTTCATTAATGATGTATCTTCGTTAGTAACGACATTTTCGGCCGTAACGCCAGTAATATGTGAAAGGTTCGGTCAGCTTTGAAGATTTATGTTAATCCTACAATAAAAGCATTATAATTTACGAAAAATTAACATAAAAAGTAATTACATTCGACATACTAACTATTATCACTAATATTGTTAATTAAAGCAACTAAAACAAAACAGCATATCTTACTAAGGGAACCCACCAACACTACTTCTTGTCCTGAACCACAGTCGTTGATGTATATTTATTTGAAATCTTGCTCTCTCTCTCTAATATCACACTTTACCAAAGAAACTCATTAACCCTATTATATAACGTCATAGGCTATACTAACTGTGCAATTTAACCCATTTGTTTTAGTTTAAATTGTGTCGGATTGATATTATATACATCTCAGAAAAACAGTACTTAAACAAATACACTCGTACTAACGTTGTGGCAGTCTGTAAACTTGACACTTCAAGAGTATAGAGCTGAAACACAAAGAGTCATACCTAAATTTCAACTTGGTATTAGCTAGGTACACCTCATATGCATAGTGCAGAAGCAAATACAAGCTACATTTCAATACCCAAAAATTGTTATTAGCTAGCTAAACCTCAAATGTATAGTGCTGAAGAAAATACAATCATATCAACGTTTGGCATTCCACAAACGTGATATTAGCCGTATACACCTGAAATGTATATTGCTGAAGCAAATATATTTATATTCCACAAACTTAACATTAGCTACATGCACGTCATACGTATACTGCTAAAACAAATACAATCATACCTATGTTCTGACAGTCCACAACCTTAACATTAGCTACATGCACGTCATACGTATACTGCTAAAACAAATACAGTCATACCTATGTTCTGACAGTCCACAACCTTAATATTAGCTACATGAAAGTCATACGTATACTGCTAAAACAAATACAGTCATACCTATGTTCTGACAGTCCCCAACCTTAATATTATATACAATATATTATATACCTAAAAGGCATAATGCTGAAAGGAATGCATTCATACCAAAGTTTTCACGTTCAAAAAAACATGATATTAGATATACAGACTTCAAAATTATAGTGGTGAAACAATTAGTTATACCAGCGTTTATAAATTCCAGAAACTTGGTCTTAACTATCTATAACTCAATATTACAGTGGTTAAATATAGTCATATCAACGTCTAGACATTCTACAAACTTGATATTAGCTACATGTATACTTCAACACCATGCTGGCATGATTATGTAAGTCACGGTTCATTTTTCTTTGGTTTCTTTTTATATTCCATTTTGTTTTAAGAAAAATTGTTGAAACAATCCCTTTATATAACTAGTACTTGTTCGGGCCCGGCATGGCCAAGTGGTTAGGGCGCTCGACTCGCAATCTGAAGGTCGCGTGTTCGAATCCCCGTCGCGCTAAACATGCTCGCCCTTTCAGCCGTGAGGGCGTTATAATGTGACGGTCAATCCCACTATTCGTTGGTAAAAGAGTAGCCCAAGAGTTGGCGGTGGGTGGTGATGACTAGCTGCCTTCCCTCTAGTCTTACACTGTTAAATTAGGGACGGCTAGCGCAGATAGCTCTCGTGTAGCTTTGCGCGAAATTCAAAACAAAAGTACTTGTTCGAAATGTTCCGATCTTGAGAAGTTTGTTGTATACACTAGTTTATGCAAAAAAGTTTTTCATAATTGAATGTGTGTGTACACAATAACCCGTTTTCCCAGAGTAAGAAAATACATCACGAAAAATGAGAAACAAGTAATTGTACATCCTCCACCTTGTTGTTCACTTTGGTAAGGTGCTACTCTTGATACAAAGAATTAAAGACATCTCAAGTTACCATTATGTTGTTTCAGAATTATAGTAAAGCGTACAAGAGCATGAAGGAAGTGACCATGATAAAACTTGTGTTTCTATTCCTTTCTATTACAGTGTGACGTATTTAGCTGTAATTCTTTAAAAGTACCTGGAAGAAGTTAAAAAATTATTCCAATGAAAAAACGTTTTATTACATAAAAATAAGTGTATTTTAGGTATAAAAATACAACCACAGTTACCAACACAAGATAATACAAAACAATGGCAAGTGGGTCTGTGGTGAGTGTGTGCCTCTCCTTTTAGTTAATCGAAAACAAAGTTATTAAAAGTTAAACTAAAGCTCAGCAATATCTAAATCTTAGCAAAAGAATCTGAAAAAAAATCCTAATCTTGGCAAAAACTTACAAAAAGTTACAGAAAAATCTCAGCAAATCAGAAGATCTCTGTCCACTTGCCCTCGAGTGCTGGGGCGGGAAAAATCCCTCGCCATTAACTGATTCAGTGGCAGAAAAACGCAGATTTCTATTCCTGGGTGTTGCATGCTATTTTCCCTGCAAGAAACTCGGTTAATTACCCAATTAATAAAGAGATCTCAGACAGTGAAAGAAGCAAAATCAAGTTGTATTTACTTGAGCATCTTTTCATGTCCAAACTGAAATGAAAGAAAATACATACATTTCGAAACAATTTACATATTAAGTAAGGGAGTAAAAAACACGTGTTACTATCTTGTACCACAGTATTTAAACTTGCAACATAGTCATTTTACCTCACAAGCTACTGTTTGTTTTGCTAGGTATAACTAAAAACAATGTGTACACTTGTTTGTTGTGGTGGGAAGGATTTATAAGCCTCATGACTCCATATTTGCTGTTACATTAAATTTTGTCTGCACCATAAAAATAAAAGTATTTATCTCTTCTAGTATGAATATTAAAAATATGTATGTATTCAATTTCTATATTGTAAGATAAAAAACAATGATTAAAATTACAAAATATTCTTTTATTTTAGTATTTAGATTTTGTTTGTTTATTTTTTGTTAAGTACAAAACTGCATAATGGGCTCTCTGTGCTGTGCCAACCACGGGTATCGAAACCCGGTTTTTAGAGGCATAAGCCTTCAGACTTACCGTTGAGCCACTGGAGGACTAATATTTAGATGAAATCAAAGGAAAATAATATTTTTACCACACTAAGTTACCTGGCATGACCTAGTGATTGAGGTGATATTTGCAACTCGCGGGTTCGAATTCCCATCACATGCTTGCCCTTTCAGCCTTGAGGGCGTTACAATGTGAATGTCAATCCCATTATTCTTTGGTAAAAGAGTAGCCCAAGTGTTAGCAGAGGGTGGTTTTTACTAGTTGCTTTCCCTCTAGTGTATCACTGCTAATTAGGGACGGCTAATGTAGATAGCCCTGGAATAATTTAACTCGTAACTCAAACAAACAAACAAACCATAATAAGTTTTTTTAAAAAAAAGATAAATGTTAAAAAGTACCGTGTAATTTCAATCCTTTTTGTATCTTATAATATTAAGTGTACGGTGTCATTCTTTAACAAGGACAGTTTCTATATTTTTGATGAACACAGTAGATATTATAGTTGGAGTTTAACTGTGTTGAATTTGATAAAACCCTAAACTGCATGTGGTCTTACAGCTACAGAAATGAAAGAGCACTATCGGGAAGCACAGATCAAAGGCCTACCGTTTCCTGTTTTAACCGTTGCTGAATATCTCAGTCTAGATACGGAAGGATTTTCTTGGGGCTGGCAGTACCGCCAGGCTGGTTACTATTCATATGTATTACTCTGGTAAGCTCCATATTTCTTTAACAAGCAATATATCTTAAGTCTTGAATTTTATTAGAAAAAATTGTCCTTACGATAGGCAATTTCTCGAATCCTTACTAACAAATGAACTGTTGCAACAGAATCTTTCACAAAATAGTCACCAGAGGAGAGAATTCTTCAACTTTTTGTGTTTGCTATTGTTAAATTACCGGTCGCGTTTTGCAAAGAGCTGCTTCAAGATGTTTTTAGGGAACCATTGCCCTTGTAATATCTTTCATATAATACATATTCCACCAGAATAATTAAGTCGCTAAAGCTGTAAAAGATAAGCAAAGAAAAAAAAAAGACTGAGACAGTAGTGCACCTGAACGACACCGTTTAGAAGCTAAACTTGCAACAAATATACTAAGAAAAGACTGAGAGAGTAGTGCACCTTAACGACACTGTTTAATCACTGAACGTGTAACAGATAAACGGCCAGCTCTATGTATTTTATCCATGGTAAAGTCATTCGATCGGTTAAATATTTGAAAGTGCAAATGTTGACAATTTTGTAAGCAACTTTTTCAGTAGGAATTTAATTAATTAATAATCCTTGGTTTTAGACCGTGGTTTAAAGTACCGCAATTTCGTATGTAGAAGAATAATATCATGGTGTATAGATATAAAGGAGGGAAAAAGAAATACGCAAAAACTATTATATATATATAGCTGTAAGGCCTACTAAGAGCGACTTTTGTAAATGTATATTAATTTCTGTGTGTTAAAATTTAACAATAAACATTTTTCTACTGCAAAACTTTCTTATAACGCTGGCACCAAAATTATTTTAAAAGCCAATTTTCAGAGTATTGTTTACGTCGTCTAATACTAAATATCAAATGATACATTTTTATATTTTGAAGAAAATGCACGTGCAACAAGCATGTTTGAAGATGTTTTGCTTTTATTTTAGTTTCGAAACGTTTGATATGTAATTTTCTAAGATTTTGCTGACATATCTAGTGTTTTGTTGAGCACTCGACTCGCGGATTTGAATCCCCGTCCCATCACCAAACATGATCGCCCTTTCTGCCACGAGGGCGTTATATTGTGCTGCCTTCCCTCTAGTCTTTCACTGCTAAATTAGGGACGGCCAGCGCAGGTAGTCTTCATGCAGCTTTGCGCGAAATTCAAAAAATAAAACTGAGAATTCTCTTTATAAAGAGACACAAACACTACAGAACACAACTACACAGCTAACATAATTTTCAGAAAGAGACATATCCTGACAACATAAGATGGACATAGCCCTGGAAAGGAAAGTTGAAAGAGACACAAACACTACAGAACACAACTACACAGCTAACATAATTTTCAGAAAGAGACATAACCTGACAACATAAGATGGACATAGCCCTGAAAAGGAAAGTTGTAATAGAAAGTGATAGACATCCAAATCAGCTTACTTTTAAAACTCCAAAGTAGAGAACATTAAACAACAACAGTTCAGGAGGGAGGAAAAAGTCTACTAAGTACCTGACCCTTCCAGGTTGCCAAGACCGAAATCCTAATGATTGACTGATTGATTAATAAATAGAAAACCTGGATGCCAAATCAAAACGTATGATCGTTTAACGTATACTTGAAGTTAAGTACAAAGCTACACAATGGACTATATGTACTTTGCCCACCACGGATATCGAAACCCGGTTTCTAGCACTGTAAATCCACTGTAAATCTAGCACTGGGGGGGGGGGGCAAAACGTATGAAGGAGGAGTGCACAAACAGGGATAACTAGTTAAAACCTTTCAAGGTGGGATGAGTATTTATAATCCCTACATTGTCGAAGATAGTTTTTAGTTTTAAAAGAAATTTTCGAAAGGGCATATGTTATAGACAAGATATTCGATTGTGTGGTTAGGTAAAAAATTCGAATTGAGTTAAGCTGTTTATCAAATCAAACTTTTTGTGCTTTCTAGTGGCCCCCAGTGGCACAGCGGTATGTCTGCGGACTTACAACGCTAGAAACCGGGTTTAGATACCCGTGGTGGGCAGAGCACAGATAGCCCATTGTGTAGCTTTGTCCTTAATGTTGTTTTAGAAAACGTTTTATAGATATTTTAAATTTAAGAACTTTTGAATGACCGAGTGAAATATTTTTCACAGTAAGTTAGTGATCTGTTAATTAAGAAAAATTTATATATATATTAATTTTATGGAGTTTTGAAAGACAGAATGAAAGCATTTTTACAGTAGCTTAGGTTGCAGATATTATCTAATACCGCAATAGGCTCAGAAAGTGGGATATTTATAACCTTCTATCTGTTACGATCATAAATAACACACAACATTAAAATGGGTACACAATTAAAAACATTTTAAATTAAGGCCAATCTATGACCTCCAAAAAGTTGACTCTACATGTTTCGACGTTATCATCAGAAGTAAAGTGCATTGTTGTTTTATGGACGGCTCAGCTGTAACCGAAAAAAACATTTGTTTACAATACATTGATATCATATTCACGATCCCAAAACATGGTTGTATATCTGTAAGTCGTCAAGTCCGAAATGAAGAATCATTGATTAATAACATCTTCAGTTTTGAGCTTAAGCAGAATTATTATGACAGAACAATAAAATTTTAGAAAAATTTCTTGGTGAAACCCATACTTACTATAGTTCAGATTAAATAAAAAACGAAGGCAGTGATACATCTGATTTCCAAATTTCACTCCTTCTGGTTGCCACCTCATAGGTTAAATTTAAAAGTTGGAGCCATTGTAATGCTTCTGAGAAATTTAGTTGTTAAACAAGATCTTTGCAATGGAACACGACTCATAATCAAAAAACTAATAGTCCACGTAATAGATGTGGAAATAACTTCAGGCAAGTATACCAGCAATAGGGTTTTAACACTCAAAATCGACTTGACCCCACAGAAAACTGACATTCCACTTATATTATAGAGAAGACAGTTTCATATTAGGTTGTCATTTTCCATGATGATCAGTAAATAACGAGAAAAAACGTTCGATCTTGTGGGGTTATATTCAGCTGAGCCAATTTCTTTCACGCGGTCAACTCTACGTAGCTCTATAGGGTACCATCATTCCATCGCTTTAAAATATGTCCCTCACGATGCAAATATTGAAAATTTTATAAGCAACTATTCCAACATCAATTCGATAGTCCTTAGTTTTAAACCGTGGCTTTAAATAACACAACTGTATATATTTGTCGAATTTCGACATACATAATTTAATAAAAATGTAAAAACAAACACGAAAGTAAGAATATAATCATTCAATGTTTATTGCATTTATAGATGAAACATGAATTGCTTTTCTTATTGTTTTTTGTTTTGTTTTTTTGGAATTTCGCGCAAAGCTACACGAGGGCTATCTGCGCTAGCCGTCCCT